GCCCGGAATTGCGGGAGGTAGTATGATGTAAGTGAAATTTTTTTTTTGTTGCACTACTTATGATTGCCAGTGTATAAAAATTTTGTTACTGATATATATGTAATGTAGTAAAAACATTTGTGAGTGTATATAATTAAAATTTTATAAACTCATAAAGTTTTCTACCTATTTTGTATAATTAATTTATATTAAAGGTTGCAAACTAATATTTGCCATTCTGTCAATATTAAAGCTCCTTCAACAGCTCCAGGTGCTAATAAATCTGAAAATGAAACTTATAGATCCTCTGGAATAGTCATCATAGTCGTAATTGAATATAGAAACGTTCCTTATAAGGTATTTTTAAATTTTATTTTGAAAAATTTCTCTTAAAGCCTTATATGGTTAATCTTATCCTTTTTTTTTTAGACAGACGTTATATCTTATAGATACTTACCTCGGTTAATTGATGGAAATGAATATAAAGTTGTGGAAAATATTTATAATGTTACTGATGGATCATATACTCTTATAGATAGGCATGGGTGAGTCTGACGTTTTATTTCATATGCTTATAGAATTAAATTTATAAAAAATCTATTAAAATTGATTTTACAGTATCCGATTTATATTTCAACAACACGGATCGATTGGAGAATTTGATTTAATAACTCTTCTTACAAGTATTGTTGCTAGTTTTGCACTCTTTGTAAGTTTCTGTTTTGTACTTTTACTATTTATTTATTTATTATTAATGTAACTTTGTTAATCACTACTTTTTCACAGGGTAGTGCTAAGATAATTGTAGAAATAATTATGCTAAATTTTTCTCCTAATAGAAAAAATTACAAAAAAGCTAAATACAAAGAACTTGATCGTGACCTAGAAAATCAATCACCTAAAACATAGATTTCTTCATAGGGACTATTAATCTTATACTATTAAATGCCGTATTAAATTTGGGATGACATGGCTATTTATTGCCAATTGCAGAAATAATATGTTTCTTTTTCTTGTACATGCGTACTTACGTTGTTGGAGGTCACCGCATTATATGCACGGATTAGCTCCCGCTACGACTTAAATTATTCGAGATGAATCTATTATACCAAACTCAAATATCAATAAAATTGGAGTTTAAAGAGAATGTGATCATAATTACTTTTGCATATAAGATTTATTAAAAATGCTACATTACTTTTATACATGGTTGGCAAATGACCAGGTTTTTTGCTTAAAAAGATGCTACTGCATTACCTACATTCATTTTCAAAATGGACACAGTGAAATTGATTCTATCTACGACAAATACAATAGTTTACAATGGTATCAATTCAGCTATATAAGGATCAACGCATCAAAAAACATCGCATCATTTGATCTTAGATAACCATAATTAAGGTGTGTATGGTGGCCAGACTTACATAAATGAACACCATAGTATTTGTTATCATTTAGTTCTTTTTCAAATAATAGGATTTCTGGATAATTGGATACCAAAAAGTTAAATTATTAAATACTTTTCCTCTCTCCATTTTTCCGATATGATTACGTGTATTTTTGAGTTCCATGGTTAAGAGAATAATCTTGATCAAATCGATAACGACGTCCTGTGTAGCGTTGCAAACTTAATTTGGGTATTATAAAAGCAAAAAACCAAGATTAATTATATTTTTGTATTTTTAATAATTTTTTCATTATTTAAAGGCGAAAATATATGTACAAGTTATTTAAACTACGTACGTACGCACAATAAAAAGCATTACATCAATTATTTGTAATTTAAATTTAATTAAGTTCGCAGCATTAGTCCTGAGATTACCATGAAAATCTGCCCTTCTGCTGATCTTTTTGCCAAAAAAACCAATGAACTTGCTCTAAATTATAAAAATCATCACCAGCAATTTGTATAGATCGATGTTTTAATTAGATTGCTCATCATTAAATAAAACCTTATATTCAAAAGCTGGTACTGGATATAAACCACCATTATCTGAACAAGGGATTGTACTGAGTTCTTTAATTTTTTTAGTATACTTAGACACTCGTTATATCGACTTCTACCCATCAAACTTCGCTTTTGATGATCATCGATCACGTCATGAGATATATCTTGCAAATTATATGTGATGGGAAAAAATTACAGTATTCAGAGATAAAAGATTGATTCAAGTTAATGAATTAAAATATATTAATAATAAATAAATAATGAAACAAACAAGATCGATTTAAGTATAATTATAAAAAAATGAAGCTTGTGCACTAAAAGAACTACTTAAATTTATTATTTCTTTATCATCATTAATAAATACAGAACATATGTACGTAATTATTAATGTCATCAATAATTGATTACATTAAGTCTCATAAGCTACATTAAGAAGTTGCCAATAGGTGAAAAATGATTTATATTGTGAAACCCGGCGTGTGACAAGGGAGGGTAAAAAAAAATGGCTTAAACTGTTTTTTAAAACATTGACGTCTGATTCTAAAATTTTGCTGAAGCTAAATATTGTCTAATTGGTTGATTTTAATTTTCAATTGAGAAAAATTTTTTTTTAAAAAAAGGTGTTACAATTTCGAATTTATTAGATATTATATAAAAAAAAATAAAATAAAATAAAAAATAATATATTAGATAGCTTTAATTTTATCAAAGCTTACATTTTAAATTTATTGGCTAGTACAACCTTTCATTCTATATTAGTTTTAATCGGCAACTAAATAAACATTGCAATAATTATATTTTTAGAGAGTGTTGTTCGATCATGTTTACACGTATCAGTTCGGCAATTTTTATAAAGTTAAATTGATTTCTTTTAATGTAGTTTTTTATTCCATCCCTACCAGCAGGCCAGTCCAATTAAGCGTTGTTTATTTCAGAGTGTGTCGATATGACCAGAACGAATTATACTGAACTACGTCTTATTACTTCATGTTTAATTACGTCATTAGCGATTTACGTATAATTTTCCTGATCATTTTTTGATATATGAGTGCTGCCAAGGCAAAACCTATAAGCAAATATTTGAGGTATCAATAAGGCGAGTTTAATCCTGTGAAAATTGTGATATTGCGTATTAAATCATTGTATAAAATTTGTATACATGCGGAGTGATAACGGATCACGTGATCGAAAAGTGAGGCGGTACACCCACGCCACGATCCGCAGGATTACTCACGA